GAGTACTGGATCTGCTTTTAACCAAAGACGATGAAATACGTCACTTAGATTGTCCTCTTGTGTGGTTTCCTGGATAGCTGTTCCCTGTACTTCCGAATGTTTTTTTGTGTGTTATTTTCAAGCGCCTCTTCGGAAAGTGTTCCCAGGCCATGGCTTTTGTTCGCTGCGACCAACTCGCACTATGTGCAAGAAGCTGGTGCACTGAGCACGTAAATCTGAAGCTTGGAAACTTCTCTAGGGAGCATCCTGCTTGTGTCTTTGCAAAGCGTATCTAATTTTTCGGAGTTGACAAATTCTGTAGATGACACCAGACGGAGAATTATCGACATATTCGACACGATCTGTGAAAGTTTTGCTCTGTCTTGACCTCTTTCCGGTACACATTCCATCAGGACAAAAAGGAATGGACGGCCGTCGATGTCAACAAAAATATTCTAAGAAATATTAAGATCTCTATTTTCAATTAATCCTGAAGAAGTCTGGTTTAAATCACAATGACAGCTCCGGTCTGGAGTTGGTTGCAGAGTCCTTGAATATCGGGTTTCCCTGGGTCGGGAAAACACGTCTGGTTGGCTGAGATGGTCTTTACTTTTCCCCTGTGTTTTCCTTTGCCCGAAAAATAAATTGCAACCCGTGTCGATTGTCAAAGAAAAAAAATTCGAAAAACCACGTTTCTCTGTCATTGTTTTTGCGAAATTTTCTTAAATAACCTACCCTACAATCCATGCAATCGATAGTAAATATGCGTACTTTATTGTAAATGCACGAAATACTTCGCTTTCGTCGCAAAAGTCTCCTCTCTGTATGCAAACACGACGCGATGCGGACGTACAAACTAACTGGGAAGTATTGCTCGATTTTGCTGACCATGCGTATCAACAGAGGGCGCAATTTCGCGCACGAGGCGATATTTCTTTCGAATTTCTGTCGAAAACACCGTTCAGAAATTCGTCTTGTACGGCCAAAAGGAACATTTCCGATAATTTTCCGCGATTTAATATTGACAAGGAATGTTTAGTCATTCAAAATATTACCAATTTATGACATTTTACGGTGGGTACTAGAAGGTACTCTTCAAAATGTGCGATCGTAAATGTATGAAAATATTACATTTTGTTCCATTTTAGTCGATTTTTTCAATGTTTTGTTTCAGTGTCATCCAATAATTGGTCCATATTATACTATACACCATTCGAATGGGTATGAGATGGGCAATATTAAAAGCAATATTAAAATTGAAAACGAGCCTTTATATGCTTTGGCAAACACGTTATATTTAAACAAGATATGAATCCTTTATTTCATTTAACTTACACATCAATGTACATAACAATTGTTATATCTCTAAAACAGTGCATTAAATTTGAAAATAGTTTTTTTTATACTAAAAACTTGATTTTCAGACTCCAATCGAAGGTTTTTTTTACTAAAATTAAAAAAAAAAGTGGACCCGATGTCTGGGTCTTAAACCACTGTGCATTATGTTATTTCTTTCCATTGTCCAGACCGTAATGTGTGATTCTGTGCACTAATGGTCAGTGGGTGTGTGGATAATTGCGATGATACCAATATACTGCAGGTGTTTTCCAATCAATGAATAATAGTATGGAAATGGACAAGAATTCCAAGAGAAAGGAATCAAATTCATCAATTTAATTAACCTGAGCGTTGCTACCAGCTGTGCCCATTGGAGCCAAATTGTAAAAACTGTCAAAAAGGTTAATTATCATCCAGGGGCGTTGTAACGTAGAATACATGTATCGGCAAATATTCAGCAGTTTAAACCTCAACTGGTCTTGCAGAGTCAAAAAAAAAAAAGCGCAACCCAAATGTCGGGACTTCTGTTTTTAGTCAAGTTCTGCATACAGCACTTCCAAAATCTAGGATATGAAAGCCCAATTCATAAGCTTTCTTTTAGTACAAGAATCATTCATATCACTCATGTACTTTTCAAGTTACAGAGTTTTAAACACAACCACCGTTTTAAAGTTTTGTCCACGGATCATGAAAACAATTCACATACGGATAGTGTGTAAATTGTTTTCGTTTTGCTGAAAGAACTCACACTGTTTGTGATCCATGGACAGAACTTTAAAACACTGGTTGTGTTTAAAATTCCGTAACTTGGAAAGTACCTTTACTAGTGATTTGAATGATTCTTGAACTAAAAGAAAGCTTATGAATTGGGCTTTCATATCCTTGATTTTGAAAGTGCTACATGCAGAACTTCACTAAAACAGAAGTCCTGATATTTGGGTTTCGTTTTTTTTTTTTTTACTTACCCTGTAGTTTGTAGACTGCTCATCACATTACAGAAGCTTAGACTGCAAGACCAGTTGAGGTTTTAAACTGCTAAATATTTGCAGCCCCTGGGTGATTTGGGTTTCGCTTTTTTTGACTCACCCTGTATACGTGTAAACATAACATTTGGCACAACACATCTCCCAAAGTTTGTTTTGAAAAGCCAAATTGTACAGCCACTGCCTTATTTGCCATTTAACAAAACAGGGTTAATTTGCGGTACCTTCCAAATTAATTCTGACTCCTCCCTCTGAACATTTCATTGAAAATTCCATTATATCATAAACCCTATTCAGTCCTGAATCCTCAAATTTTAATTAAATTTTTCAAAAACCCCAGGGAGTTAAGGCTTGTTCATACTTCATGCGAATGCAATGCAAATATGACGTCATGTCGTACTTGCTGCGAAATTCGCCAGAGTTGAAATGTGTTCAACTTTTGCGAATTCGCAGCGTGAAAAGTTGCCCTGACGTCACAAATTCACGTTCGCGCTCGCTTTCGCGCCGATTGTGAACCAGGCTTTTAGTGTTCATAAAAATTCACTAAAATGGTTGCCATACCCATGGAGCTATAAAAGCTCCATGCCATACCACAGTTGGTGTCTCACTGCATAAGTTCATGCAAACATTCCATTGAAAATTCCATTTTGTTTTGGGGCCTAATAATTGCACGACAAGTCACCAACAACTGAAAAATCCTTAGTTTCAAAATCCCAAAGTGGCACTAACAGGTTTCCAGTCTTACCTTGACAAAAGCCGACGCATCAAATGACAATCCTCCAAGAAAAAAAACAAGACTAAACAAACAAGAGCTCTAGCAAACGTTCTGCTTTGAATTGTCCGTCCACCCACGACCACTGCGTGCACTCAAATGCCACACGTCAATTGTTGTGCTGCCGGCACCAACAGGCCTGGCCGCCACTTAATTCTGTTATGTCAGCGCGGCCTGGCGTATTCAATCTACCAAATATGTATCTAAATCCACTGTGTGCCCCCAGGGGAAAACAAACTGATGAAGCCCAGCCGAGCCAATCGACCAGTTATGGATCCACCGAGCTGCGTAATACACACACCGTGGCTATAAAGTGGCTAAATTTTTAATTAAAAAAATAGAAGGGGCTGCTGTCAGGATGGGGTACCAGTATATGTGAAGAGAGATGATATGCGATCAATATGACTTTGTGCTTTTGATAGAAATGGAGTTCTGTTATTGTTGGGGGTGCAAAGCTTATTGGTGTCATGGTAAATACAGCCAGGGGATATGCAGTGTCGGTGGGTGTTCGTGTGGAAAATATGGCCTGGTTTCTATACTGGAAAATCAATGGAACTTAATTAACAGAGACACTTTTCCTGTGTGTCATCCTTAGACCGTAGCAAAATGTAGGTCTCTGGAACTAGGTTAGTGGAATCTTCATGAACGCATGATTTACATGGATGGACATACAGCAAATCTGGGCACGTGATCACTGTATGCTCACGGGGCCCCCTTCAATGGAGAAACCATTGTGCATGCTATTGTACAAAGCAACTGCCCTGTGACAGATTGTCTCAACAATAGCTACTATTATAACACCTCACCCACATATTCTGTGTCTTGATTGGCCGAGAGCGAGTCACATGGTACTTTCCATTTTTGCTATCTTTCAGTGCATGGCCAAAAGTACTATACCCGTAGCAACCAAAGTACTATACCATTAGCAACTAAAGTACTATACCCATGGCGCAGTATTTGTGTGCAAATGCATGCTGGTGTGCGCGTTGCCGCGCGTATTGTTCCCAAGAGAGCGCGCCACAGAGTTGGGTTCAAACATTTCGTGAACGGGTGGTTTGAAAGAGAGAAATACATTTCCCACCAATTACCAATTTTGTATGGATACGGAAGTTTATTTTAACAGTGTTCAGATTTAAATAGTTTAAAATATTAAAACCAAGCAGAATCTGTGGGTGAAGTGTTACAAAACAAATATTGAATGCTTTACCGGTATCTTGTGGTGAAGTAAAACTAGTCTCCCTCGGTGATCCATGGAGCATTCTATTTTTTCGAGGCGAAATAGAATGTCCGTGGATCACTTCGGGAGGCTATAGTTTTACTACATCGTTCAAAGCATTCGATACTGGTATTTGTATACAATGCTTTTGCCACTGAAGGGGGCCTTTGTGATAACATTGACAGTGCGTTTGCATTGGTCAGGAAGCTACGTCAGGGAGCTGAATGGCAAATTACAAAGTACCGAGGTAACGGGGAAAAATGTCACAATTTGGACCCTAAATTTACAGCATGACCCATCTGCCCCCATGCAAACATGTCTTTAACCCTAACTCCCTCAGCCATTTTACTAGGATGTACATGTACATGTAGCCTCAATCCTGCAAACTCTTCCACTATTTCTTGAATATGGTCCGTGGTGGGGTGACCACTGCCTGAAACCTGCATAATCCTGCCGAAGTGACTGTCAATATATGTTGAGGCTTGGCCAGTGACATCCTGGAGCAGTACGGAGAATTTCAAGTATAACCCAGGCCTATATTTATGCATTGCTGAGCAAAACCAACACAAGGTCCGGCCCAAGACCTTGACAAAGTGCATCCTACGAAATCAGTAATGCACTTTTGCCATGTAACCTCAATCCTCCAAATTCCTCCACTTTGGCAAAGAGGATTTTGAAGGATTCAGGGCGGTAAGGGTTAATTCTTGCTCACCTGAACCTCCTCGGCCGATTTCTTCTCCTGTAGTTCCTTCCTGACCTTGAAGCCCTTGAAGCTCGCCTGGATCTTCTCGGCAGCGGCCTGCACCTCCGGGTCCTCCAAGTCAATGTCCACCTCTTCCTCCTCTGCTGTTGCCTCCCCGGGGGCTTCTGTCGGGGGTTCTGTCACCGCTTCCGGTGTGGGTTCTGCTGCCGGTGCTGGCTCTGCTGCTGCTGCGGCAGTCTCGGTGACGGATTCTGACTCTTTGGCTTGTTCGTCTCTGAAGAGATAATACAAACAAATATATTTTAAAGTTTTGTCTATATGTATACCGGTGTCATTTTCTCTAATGCCAACATGGCTCATCAGGCAGGAATTTATCTCCAGTTTCATGGCACGAAGCTATTGAGAATATTTCTTATGCCCCTGAATTTGATGCCAATGCATCTGTTTGGCTGTGCACTTTGAATAATTAAGTATTTGATTATTCTATCTTGATCATGATCAACATTAGCAATACAAGTATGCGCCTAAACTGGCCGCCATTGAGGATTTGCGCGCTCATGCGGCTGTCGAAGATTTACATAGATAATTAGTATGTAAGTCTTTTCTAAGTCTCTTTGCTGTAGTCGTTTAAGTCTCTTTGTAGTGGCTGTCACGCTGTTTACTTTGCTTGATGTTCTGTGGCTGTCCATTTATATCTGCCTGTATTAGACAATTTAACTCTTTCAGTGCCAAACTCGTACATGTACGAGGTATATTTGTTAGTACAAAAGCGCCAACCTCGTACATGTACGAGGTAATGTTCGTACTTAAAATTGCCAAACCTCGTACATGTACGAGGTAGAGTAAACATGTTATCAAAAGGGGGCGCTCTCGTTCTTTCTAATGGTACCATTTTCATGCATGTACAACCTGTATATTTTTTCATTCGAGTTCTTGCGAGAGGGCGCAGCACTAAATCTCGTATTTTCTGCAAAAAGTGCGGAATTCCCCTGTGTTCAGGCGTGTTTCAGGGTGTATCACTATGTTTGTGACTACTTTTGACTATATCAAGGATATACCAGAGAGCAACAACAACAAATTTAGTGAGTAAAACTTATTTACTTTTTTCTTTACAGAATTTCGAACAATTAACAAAAACGCTCAAAGTTGGGCACTTTAGGGTTAAACTTTTCAAATTTCGCGGGCACTGAAAGAGTTAATTAATGTACACCCACTTTTTTTTTTAAAGGTTTTTATTGTACAATTTTAAATTGTTTTAAAATCTTAACTGGTTTATTTGTATTTATGTGAAGCACCTTGAGCGTCAATTATTTGACGGATTTGGCGCTAGCATACAAGAATTAGTTATTATTATTATTTTAAAAAGGTAGAAGAATGGCTGATACCGGTATTTGACCCATTTTCAAGAAGACTTTTGAGCTTAAGTTCCTCATGGCAGCTCTAAAATAAAAACGTGGCATATTTGACGCACACGATTAAAAAGAACATCGTGGATGTTTTTCATCATCTCCTCCAAACCTCTCACATTTTTTTGAAAATTTTAATTGAAAAAAAACCCTGATTGCCTGTTCAAAATTTACTGTGCATTTGGGATATACCGGTATACACTGTAATTGTAGTTGTATCTGAGTTTTTACTGTAATTGTCCATGTATAGTTAAATACAATTTTTAAATAATGTTTATAATTGTGTGTGTACAGTATCAGGAAAACAATTTTCATGTGTTTTTTTAATGGGTGACTAATAAAATTATTCTATTTTATTCTATTCTACCGGTATAATAATATTTGGTATACTTGACAAAGCCTTAGTTTTCAAAATTGAAAAAAAAAAAAAAAAAAAAAAAAAAAAAAAAACAGGTGCTCATTTTTGACTGCTTCGTCACCATTTTTTCTGGCAATAACCAAAAACAAACTTTCAATTTTGCCTGCATCATGATTCACAGGCAATTTGCAAAAAAACTGGGGAAAAAACGAGGAAAAAAACGAGGAAATTCCAAACCACACAAGACTTTGTACAAAATCTGACATGCCGTCAGAAAAATTCAGCAAAAACGAAACGCTTGGACATGATGTGAATCTTTCACCGTTCAAAAATTACAAAGGCGGGCACTAAAAAAATGAAAAACAAAAATTAAAATTCTGCTCAAAAGAGTCTTAGATCAGATGCTGCGTAGAAAAAGTCAAGCGTTAATTAAATTATTTGTACATGGCGTGCACTATGATTCCATAATCTACCAAGTCTACTTTCTGTAGAACGGCACAGGGTATTAATGTATGCAGCTTCACAGTGGAATGTTTAAAATGTCTTAATAGGACGCCAGGGCCATTTACTAACATCCTAGAGAGTCTGGACCGCTTTGTAATTTACAGTGTAGGAGAGATAGTGGGGGGGGGGGGGGGGAGTAGGGGGGGGGGGGAGTAGGGAGGGGGAGGGAAGGCGAAATGAAGCACTGGACGTCGTTCGTGCGTAATCAAACTGCTGGGAATAACTAATGGAATTAATCTTTAGCCGAAGGACAGGAATGTTAATGGCATGAATGTTTTCTTTTGTTATCTGTACAAAGCACAGGCAACGTGCATGTACCGGCACACGTCATTAATTGCTCTGATAAAATATGTTTGAACATCCTAGTGCCATCCATTTTGGAATGTGAGTCCTGACATCCATTTCAGGTTTGAAATTAATGTTTAAAAAAAAAAATTCATAAGAAAAAAAATACACGATTTTTTTTCTTTGGTTTCAGCTACCAGTAGGCGACAACCTAAATCTATTTTCATTCTTTAGAATGAAAACAGATGACTGAAGGTGACCGAACGACATAACTATAACTTTCATACTGACAATTAGGAGAAAAAGGGGAATTGTCAAAAAGAAAGATCAAATTATTTTGTATAAATTGTGCTATACAGTTCATGTACACACTGTGCATACATGTAAATGTATGCAACAAAAACAAACCATAAAAACAGAATAAGAGTGCAGTTTCTGAAAAGAAATTTAAGCAGTTTTACTTCCACCAATATCTATACTACAGGTACAAAAACTTATTAAAGTTCAATAGTGCATAATTTAAGAAATTGTATTAATACATAGGCCACTGTACATGTACATGTACCGGTACATATGTATGTCCAATTTACGTGTATTTCCGAAAATTTGACAACATCTTTACATGTCTACAATCCAACAACGCCTGCCAGTTCAGTATCAGTATTAAGCCGTACGGTCCGTGAACATCATCTTTTCTTCAAAGTGTACACCAAGTCCTGCAAGGAAGACATGTTGTGGAAAGCTAATGCCAAACTTGAATACGTTGAATAATTTACATGTAAATGACACATTGACTCGCACATAAGAACTGGTACATACCTGCCAGAATCCTGTCAAAAAAATTATCCGAAACTGTTCCGAGTTCCCACAATGCTATTATGCACTTTCTGCTTTCCAAAGAAGCACCCCGCTCGTCCTGTGTCTGTTCCCTAAGTTCTCTGAGAATTTCACAGCCCTTTTACAAAAACTCTAACTCATGAATTATGCACAAAAATGTACAATACTGCACTTCCCATTGGCTGAGCCATATCCTACATGTACCGGCCTGAAGCAATATGGATCAGTCTGCAACCTCATAAATATGCATGACATGGACAAGGCTACTAATTCCCATTGGCCAAGTCATCCACCTAGCCTGAAGCAAAATGGATCGGTCCGGAACCTCATCAATATGTACATACCGGTATTGTACCGGTACATGTACATGTGCATCAAATGGACAAGGTACCGGTATAGGCCAGTAATTCTCATTGGCCATTCACGTCACCCAGCCTGAAGCTTTAATGGATTAGTCCACAACCTCATAAATACCGATACAAGTACTGCATGTACTGGTAAGCATGGACAATATTATCTTTGGTCATGTACCTGTGCATGTACATGTATGTCACCCTGCAAGAAGCAAAATGGACCAGTCTTTGCAATTAACTGCCAGAGTCAAGACTGCATACTGCAGTGTACATGTATCTTTGAAGGACCAGAATTTGTTTAATGATTTATGCATGACCAAATCACCATGATTGGCTATTTAACTTAATGAAGTACATGTACACTGTACAGTGTATTACTGCAGGGGAAACAATGGATCGGCCCAAAGCAATGATGAATTATGCATGATTACCATATTTCAGTTTTATGCCAGCTTACCGGTATCTAATACCTTTTTTGACTTTTAACTGTCCTAATCAACACTTTAAGTGAATATGATATTTGATAAGACTACTATGTACAATGTGTATGCATGTATGGTTGTAAGAGGTTGTGGAATGCTCGAAGACATTTCCATCATTTTTCGGGTATACATGTATGTAGCCTAAGGTGTGATGAAATAAAAACAACTATTGTGTCTGTCATGAAATGAGTACAAAATGTACTTTTGAGAGCTGTTTTTCAGGTCCTGTTTCGACCCAAACGTGCAATTTGTGTAAAAGTCGTCGTTGGGGGCAGCAAACAAAACATAGTAAATTGTGACGTAATAAACAGGACTCCCGATGCAGCGTAGTATAAGCGAGATCCAACACTTAGGCCTACAATGTGCATGTAATAATTTAACAACTTTGGTACTGTACATAATATGTACACATTGTTCGTACTCCAAAATAAAACAAACTCCATGCAAACTAATTAATGGTTGATACGTACACAGTTCTACTTAAAATGACACAAACAAATGCAGCTAGTGGAAAGACCTAATGCACAGTAGTCATCTTAGACAGTTTTCTTTGGTAACATTAAATTTAGAAACAATTCCTTCAAGTTGTTCTCCACTACGTTATGATGGCCCTCTGGCTCCTAGCACAACCAGACCACACCCCCTCCAAAGGCAAAGTAATTGTTTTGTCTGTCTTTAAACAAAAATGATGAAGGCCTTCCATCAATGCAGTACATACAGTGTGTTTTGTACAAAGTACATGTATGGCATGGTACTACATGTACATGTACCGGTACCCAACCCCCCTCCCCCTCCAAGAAAAATTGACGACGACAACAAACAAACAAACAAACAAACACCATCAAAACAAAATCAAAACCAAAATTCTAAAGGACATTAATGCACTGCATTACAGTTTATGTACGGCAATCTGCCTCCCCCCACCAAAAAAATCACAAAACATCAACAACAACCCCCCCCCCCCAAAAAAACCCCCAAATTTCTGAAAGACTCCTCAATAATGCAGGATTAAACAACAAAACTGATCTATATGTACAGTAGTTACACCA